TGTTCACTTCCGCATAAAAAAGCCTCGGCACGTGAACTCCCGCGTGTGACGGAACATGGGGGAAACAGGCTGGTATTTGTGCAACCTGCACAAACACAATACTGCACCATAATTACAAATGGTGAAATACAATGTAAAACTACCGAAAAATATCAGCTCACTAAAACACAACCGCTCAACTCAACGCAACTATTAACTATACCCGCGGTCAGAGAGCGGAGATGTTTACCCTTTGTTATGTAATATGACGCGTTTGACGTATGACGTAAAAAAAAAGCCGTTTTTAAGAGCAGAGCTCAAAATTGCTCCTTTCCCTCTGAATTCCTGCCCTTATGTCTCGTAAAACATATAAAATCCTACATTCACTTTTTTAATTGTAATTTTCAAGCAAGTTTAAGCATAAATGTAGAAAAAAAACAACCTGCAAGATGCTCTTTAAGAATTTTTCATTAAATTCAATTTTAAATAAATGTATCTGTTGCTGAGAGCATCATTGATTACATTCCATTCACTTCCATTGTGTTGGAGTAAAGGCAGATATTTCCAGGACATACAGCATTTCCGTGTTGTAAACTAAATATATTTTTTTGTTGACAAAAATACCAACACACAATCGTTATCATCCATGCACACTGTATCATCCAATTATGCCTCTAAATAGAATACTTACTGTTCTGCCTAAGGAGGCTTTGCGGTTGCAGCAGATATGCTCGGAGAAGGTTGTGTTGACATTGAAGAGATGCACAGAAGGTAATTACAAATAACAAAAAGCAATCAGTGCTAAAGTTCTATTATAAGGCCAAATACCTTAGCTGTTACTTTTCCCCGGACAAATATATATTCTGCATATTTGCGTACAACACCCTCACAGTTTAGCGCTCAGAGAATCACACTATCTTAACACAAATCTAGTTGTTTCAAATTAGTGATGCTTTCTTAAATTTCTGTTACGTAACTCCAGGTCCTCCACATTTATTCCTGACAGACTACAAAGTCACTGAGCTGTAATTTGCTCTGTTGGCTCTTAGTGGTGCTTTCCCAGCCAACGTGAACAACATTAAAAGAAAAAGGCTCTGTAGCACCAAACTGCCATGGCTCACAGATGACAAATGTAGCGATTAAATCATTAGCCGCGTGAGTGGAGACATATGTCAGACTTCAGATGAATGGCATTTCTTTGAAATGGTTCAAATCCGACAACGTTAGTATAGGATTTTGCATTGATTTTAGACAATATGGACAGAGGCACATATGCACAGGCTGATTTCCTTGTGCACGGATTTATGCACACATTCATGCAAACACACATCCACTATAGGCACAAACAGATGTGCACAGTACTATGGTCACATTAGCACTGGGACTGTGTTTGCTCCATAGAGATGTGCCCCTTGGCTACAACATATAAGTGCCTTCATCTCTATGTGACTATACATGCATGTGTACTACACACACGTATACACAGAAAAACATGATTAGAATGAATATTAGAGAGCACTGACCTCTGCAAAGGCTGATGGTGCATTCATGTGCTCCACGGATGGTCCTGAACTGTAGAGATGATGGACCCTACAGAGAAAAAGAGCTTTAGCAAATCATTTGTATCTGTTTTGAGTTGTTATTACAGCAGCCATGAATGCAGCACTATCCCTTAATAATAAAGAAAGTGAAGCATTATTCATGTATCTGACCCCTGATTCAGATCCACTCCAAATGTTTGGACCATGCTACACCGATCCAACAGGTTTTATTCAAATTGAGCCTTTCGTTTTTAAGTAATTTACTGACAGATAAACAGGAGCCAAAACCATAACCTCGTTGGCGGATGTAACACACTCACATGAATGTCCAATACACACTAATATCCACAGGTCACACATTATCAAGCCACGTATTGCAAGTAATACCAATAGGCACAAATGCAACACTCACTTACCCTTTGTGCCCTTAAACGCTTTGATGCTGGCCTCAGTGAGCCTCCTCCTGAAAACAGACCCATGCCGACTCAAATTGGAGTGCAAGGGTCAGTGCCAACAACTGCTGGCTTGGCAATGTTTTCCTGCCAGGTTTTTTTAAGCAGAGCTAGAGACAAAGTGTAACAGTATTTGGAATATAAACCCGAGTTAAGAATGAACAATGTTTGACTTTTTATTGGTTTTGCATCGCTATGGTCAACTAAGTTCTGCTTTGCTGTCGAGAGCCAGGATGTCCTTTATAGGTGTATAGAGATGTTGTTATGCACAAATGATGGCTTTTTACCAGTCTTTATGGCTTTTTACCAGCACTTTGAAACAAGCGTTGGTGTCAGAGCTATGAATATTGCTAATAATAGTTTCAACAACAAAACAACAAATTGTCTCACATGTAGTTTAAAGCCTTGAATTTGGCATTTTTCTACCTGTTCTGTCATTTTCTCACTTTGTTGTCATGTGGGCCCTCCTTTTTGTGTCCTCACCTCATTAAGTGCCTCGTTTACTCTCTCTCTCTGTTGTTTGTTTCAGTATTGGACAGACATTTACCTTGCATGGAACCCGGACAACTACCCTGGGGTTCAGAACCTGCGCTTCCCTTCCAATCAGGTCTGGGTCCCAGACATCCTCCTCTACAACAGGTACGGTTGTCTCATCCTGTTATGTTTACTTTTTAACCTTATCACTTTTAATACTACCCTATTTTCCACGGAGCGGACGTAACAACAATATATTGATAATAATGGAGGTGATCGAAATGCATGTGAATTGGAAAATTGGCGATTTGATTATATTTTTATTAATACAGTAATGATATGAAGAAAACTAAGACAGTTTTCCAAATATTCCCCATCTTATATTAATCTGTCTTAACACAAAATTGCCAATCAACATTTAAGCAAAGTGGCCTTAAGAGTGGAAGGAACAAGAAGTATTGAAAAAGCTTTGGAATACTCTTTAGTGATGAAATATTTACTGTCTATTGATTGACCGACATAACACCAGACTGACATTTAAGATTGATAGCAAGCAATTTGTGCTACTTTTGCTGAAAAATGTAGATCAAAATCAAGCCTACTGACTTAAGCTGCTTTCACTTGATACGCGATTTTTCTCTTTGCTCACCGTGAGTTTGGGCGCAGAGCCTTACGTTGAAACCAGATGGTTCGTTTCATTTCTATGGTTACCTCCCTGCTAGCTTGTGCCGCTATATTCAGCTGTCATCTGATTGGTTACGCTTCAAAGGGTCAGAGGTAAACAAGGTCAACGAAGCCAAGGTTAACGCTTCCACCTAGTAGGGTAGCAATGCTCTCACAAACACAACGGCAAAGTCAGTGCAGCGTAACTGATCGAAAACTATAATAAACTGTTTAACCTACCAAAATAAATTTAAAAAATGTGCTCTCTATCGCACACGGTCTATCCAACACAATTCTCGCCCTTATGAGACTACTTGGCTCGGAGAAGGGCAGTCATTGGCTCTATAGATGGACCGTTTTTACTTGCACAACTTTTTTGTTAGAATATTTTATATGTTTAATTTGTGTTGATTAAATCAACATTTGTCCATCTGGAACTTGGTAGCTCCTCAAAATGTATTTTTCTGGTCATACAGACATGGTGATTTATTATCCCACCATACTGCATTTAAAATCGCCCAATTGGAATGGTTATTAAATAAGACATATGATAGAACGGCAGCTAAAATGATAAAACCTCATATTTGTTGGTAACTATTTCAGTGGCTACTGGCCAGCGCCAGCACATTGCCTTATCTGCCAATGCTCTTGCTGCTAAATTCTACTTTGCAATTCCTTTTTTAAATTATCTTTCTTTCCCTTTTATTCCTCTGTCACCTGGGCTCTGGATACCCGGCAACACCGTGGGTGAACATATTTCCCAGAGGAAAGTTCACTCTTGGTTACAGCTTGGTTTAAAGAGATGATTTAGCCGATTCCCTCTAGGAGGACAGTAACCAAAACTCCCATGGAGCTTTGCATCTGTTGCCTGCCAAGGCCAGTGGGAACACGTCATCTGGAAACACTGTAAAGTGGCTGGATATGTCAACAGATCTCTGTAATATACTTCATATGTAAGCAATTTTGAAGTCATTTCTTTTGGTCCTTTATGTTCATGTTATCATTGTATCATGTTTGATGAAGATGGTTCACCTTCATATCAAACTCTACAGGTTTTATTAGAAACATTCATCTGGCTGAGCTCATATCTTTTCATGTCATTGTCAAAGAATAGGACTTTGATGGGGAGAAAGAGAAATAATGTCTCCAGAACAGCGCTTTGGTTTCTTTGATTCAGAGGTCAGCCTGATTGAACATCTTTTCTTTCAACCCGCTCAGCCATTGTGGCTTCCTGCTGTTTGGAGGGAGATGAGTCTACTGTGCCTGTTAAAATAAATTAGGTTGCTAGGGTGATTCTGTGATGGATACCCACCATGCCGTCTGAACTTGTTCAGTTTCAGTTGAGCGGCTTGATCTTTTTCCAGTGTATTTTGTCATGTAGGCACCGATTTTGTCCACAAACAAAAGTAGCTTTTTTTGGCACTTATTACAGGCAGCCGCCTACATGGTAAACAAGACTTGTTTGCCCTCTTGCTAAGCAGCTGTGACATACTTAAAAAAAACAGCAATACATACATAATGTGCGTCATGTGATACATCCATTGGGAATGATGCTGAAACACAATAATGAGTTCTGTTATTTTAGCTGAAAAAACGATCATGAAACACTATGACCATAAGGATAAGGATGAGAAAGATAAAAGACACAATATATGAGAAAATATTCGTACCTTTCCCAGAAGCTCCATCTTTGTATCTTCTTTTGTCACATGTAGGTTCCACCTTTTGTTTTTGTGCCTGTAACATCATAATAATCAGGTTATTGCAACAGCAAGCATTCTGTACAGTTTTACACCAATCCTTGAAAAATACCTGCCTGACTAAACATACATCTTAGTAATATGCAAAGGAACTTTACTCCAGGAAATACTATGAGTAATAAAAGTAGTGTTTGCCTGGGAGTAAAACTGCTTTTTTCATAGTCCTGCTTATTGTTAGTGGCACCAGGGGAGAAAAGTTGGGCAATTGCTGACCATTATTAAACTGTCAAGCTCCAAAATAAGGTATTTAACAGGAGAGTAAAATGTTTTTATTGCCTGAATGCTTTCCCGCCTCCTTGAAATAACCCTCAAACGCAGTCAAAGAATCACACTTGTAATGGAAAGACTTCGCCATACATGGCAGAGTTGATTACTTGGCTACAGTGTCTAACAGGGATGATACAGAACATTAAGAAAGGGGGGGGTTCAGCGATCGCTAACGATAAAAACAATACAGTCCTGACACAGACCCAGATTCAACCTGTTATTCCGTGTGTGCGCAGTGTAAATCGTGAGTATGATCATTTATTTCTATTTTTGTGAGGCAAAGAAGCAAGCAAGAAAGGAGAATTCAACCATGAGATATGATGAACGTTTGATGATCCCAATCTGGAAATGAGGTCTTGGCAGTAGCAAGACTTCTTCAGGGAAAAAGGCAAAAAGCATAAAAAAATAAATATATATTTATATATATATAGAAAACATTTAGCCGTGGGAGTATTTTTAACAAACGCCAGAAAAAAACCCTTTAAGGTTTACCACATGAGGACACACATTGAACACTATGGAACCAGTCCTGATTGTTCATTCATCTCTATCTCTCCTCTACACAGCATACCAAACATGGCATGAATGTAGTGTGAATGTCACTCCGTCACTTTTGAAAGTTAGCGAACTTATCTTGCCTTCCTCTGAGAAGTGAGCCAATTCGTCTCACCTTCAAGAGAGGCTTTTCAGGACAATTTGAATGACTTTTTCCTTTTTTCGGATCTTCTTGGAGTCTCTGGATGGTGTTCCGAAGAGGATGATGCCTTGGGACTTCATAACAGACACATTGTGTGATCTGAAGGTATTTAGTAGAACAACATCCAAGGCCAAAGATCAGTGACTTTGATGTTATTTATTTTGCCGAGAATTTGCAAAATAATGAATTTTCGTGATGCAGGAGAGTTTGTTTCGTCAGTGTAAAGAAGGGAAGTTGTTTGGACATTAAGTGCTGTAATGCCGGCTAAAGAGAGGATCTGAAAGTTAGACAGCTGCCCGTGTCAGCACCATAAAGAAACCTAACGTCAATCCACATAAATAATATAGGAACCATGTGTCTCGTCCCACACAGGATTTTTGAATATTTCACCATGCACTGTCACTTCAGTTGTTTTTTATTTAAATAATGTAAGCCATGCCGCTGTCGGGCTTCTTTCTATATACTGTACTGTATGTAGAGAGGGTTTAAACGTATGAATCTAGACAACGCAGTGTAACCCCACCTTAGACGCATATTTGATGGTGATGTTTAACTCATCCTGTAATAGTGTCACAAAGAGAATACATGTGAATGTGGTTGTTGCCATTGCATGGAGAGAATTTGTGAAAATGGAATCTTCATTTGCATGTGTTTTGGCACTTTTGTGTTTTTATATATGCGTCGCTTTTCAATCTGCATTGCATTTCTCCTAAAGGAAATGTTTTGGGCTGTATCAGCGCGTATGCATCTGCTGGCCAACGTAAGCAACCTTACAGCAATCAATCAATTTTGAAGATCATAGGTTTGGCAAGTGATTACAATTCGTACGGTCCTTTGTTGTTTCTCTTAACTGATTTCAGCTGAAGCTACTTGCAACATCTATTGCTTGAGAAGTAAATGGCAGGCCATTACTTGTCTTCTTTTTATTCAACGGCTCACATCAAGGAGAAAAGGTTCATTTGAAGAATCCCATTGCTTTACACCTGAATCAATGTATGCATGTTTTGCTAAAGTTTCAATCTTCTCATTTTTAAAAGGTTACCCAAACGTTTTTAAAATGCTAATGCCTCTCAATCTATGGTCAATCAATAGGTAGAAGTTTTAAAAAAACCATTACAATGATAAATGCTAATTTGGCACATTAGCTCATTTATTCTAGGCAGTTAACAAAAGTGATTAGTGCTGCTCCAAAGGTTTCTCACAGCCTCCGCTAAGTGAAAAGAGTGATAAGATCTGGATTATTGATGTATAGGCCATACATCTGCATTGCTTCATCCTGTTATATGCCTCCTGGGCTCAATTTTGCTACAATTCATGATCCACTGTCCTACAAAAACCTTTAGGAGGAGATTAGGCATAAGCCTCACTTTCTTGCAGTGCGTTCAATCTCTTACTGGAAGTTTTAGAAATGTAATAATGGACAATAATGTTGAAAACATTTCATTAAACCAGATATGAATGAATGGACAAATGATTTGATGGAAACCTTTATCTTTTTCCTTACTTCTACAAAGGTTATGTTTTTAGTCCTGTATCATTTTTCAATTAGTCTGTTTGCTTTTATATTGTGATCCAGTAGTTTGTGAAGCTGTACTTAGGTCAAATGGACAGATTAAATGTGGACCCGTTGATGATGCTTTAGGAAATGTTAGGGATCAACAAAGTTCTGTCCTGGAAGGAGGAGGTGGGAGACAACCCCCCCTGTCCGCACTGTGCACCTCTTTTTCTCACGGAGAGATACCGCAGTTCCTTTTTCTTCCTGCAGTGGTCAGACAGTCTATCCACCACGCCTCCTGGGAGACCAACAAAGACTATCACTGATGTGCGATAACACTATCAAAACCTGTATATATAATATACATTCAGATGATCTGAGGGGAATTTCTTGATTTTTGTTTTTAACTTGTGATATAAATAAAGCTTTATTATTAAAGCTTTATTACTCATCCACTCAAAGGAATACCGATTCTGATTCAACCTCCAGAGCGGGAACAATCGATGTATTTAGGAATCCATTCAATAGTTCTATTCTGACGACAAATGTTAACCTTTTTTAAATGCAAAGAGATTTAATCCTTTGCATTTGTAATTATAGTGTATTAACACTTATTATCAGACTTACAGTAGAATCTTTCATTCTTACTATCATATAATATTTGGATGAATTTTGTTGTGGGAAATGACTGATAATGATTGCTTTTGGGTGTGTATAATCCCTGTGTGTTTGAAGGACGTCTTGATGGCGGACATCGATGTTTGTTTAAGATGATCAGTCAAATTACAATTGTCTGGAACTACACTAATCCCCTGTGTCTACCTGTCTCTGTCACCAACATTCTCACGTCTGTTTATCGTCTGTTTTCTCTTTACCTTTGTGATTAACTCCCAATCGTAGTTTAAACCTCTGGTCCTTTTATCCCTCCTTTGTGGCTTCATCTAGCGAATCCTTCCGATTGTCTTCGTTTTGAGTGCTTTTGAGGCAATTTAAAGACTGTTTTATCCTCTCTTCTCTCCCTGTAGTGCTGATGAGAGGTTTGATGCTACCTTCCATACAAATGTGTTGGTGAATTATTCAGGATCCTGCCAGTACATCCCACCAGGTGAGACATTTAAGATTTTCCTAATGTTATATTTGACTAATTATCAACTTTAATCCTATTCAATCGTTAATTTAAACCGCTCCTATTGTTTTGGTGTTTTATGGGTTTCATCTAGTGTTAAAACTGGGCAGAATTCCAAGGAAAAGTAAAATATTTTAAGACAAAGTTTTCATATAACTGCAGCTTGTTAGCTACTATTTAAAGTGTTTTTATTGTAGGATCTACCATTGTATACTATTGAAATCAAAGTTATATGTGACATTTACATCTAACAGTGTAACATTTCTAACCAGATTTAGCCATAGCATTGTGGGATGTATGCTTTTTATTTATTATTTTATTTTAAATTATGTATTTTGGGTAATCAGTTGACATTCAATTACATTGGGGTGTTTTTAAACACTAATAAAAGACTAATAGAGGGGCTTTTATAGTAATTGAATGTATTCCTCTGTGATGGATTAGAAACACTTTTGCCTGAGGGCTGTTGGCATGACAACATCCTTCAGCTAGCTTTCCTTCAGACCAGAGGCTTGAGAAAGTGAAGTATGAACTACTTTGCCAAAAGATAATTGTCCCCAACACTTAACTCCAGGCATCCTGAAGAGTACATGCTACATCGATGTGCGGTGGTTCCCCTTCGATGTGCAGAAGTGTGACCTCAAGTTTGGCTCCTGGACCCACAACGGCTGGCTGCTGGACCTCCAGATGATAGAAGCGGACATCTCCAGCTACATACCCAACGGGGAATGGGATCTAGTGGGTATGAAGAAAAACAGACATTAAGACACATTTTTGGGGTTTAACAACAGTATGCCACATGAAATGAATTATTAGCAAAAACCTCCCTTTAGCTCCTGGCTGGTATAACAAGAAATGTACTTACAAAGCTTTTTTACAAGTCTTTCTGACAGGATACATTTTGCACAAATGTATCATTACTGAAAAGAGCTTTCAGCACGCTGCTTCTTACATTAAGCAGTGATGCATTTGATATGGATAAATGGGAAACTGAGTAAAAAAATAAATGTATAAGAAGTTCACGGTGACACGAGCGACACAGAGGAGGTGTGGGTTGATATGACATTTCACTGACAGCACTCCCAATATATTTTTTAGACATGTTTGAGCCGAAAATTCCTTCTGGGAATCTGAAAGGCTCTGACACGGACAGACACAGACTTTCAAAACATTAGCTAGGCCCCTTCATGTCATGTTCCTGGAAGTTAGAAAACCAGTCAGTATGATACAGCTCTGACAGCAGGGTTTCAGAGCTGTAGACTTTCTTGTAAAGTGCTTGTCTATCAGTTCTGGTTAAAAATGTGCTACACTGCAGATAGCCAGGAACATTTTGCTGCCGTTTAGTGCTGACTAGAGATGTCCCGATCCGATCACGTGATCGGGGATCGGAGCCGATCACGTGATTTTCAAAAGATTGGAATCGGGAGAAAAGAATCGGGGATCGGGATTTACATTTTTTTTTTTTTATATAAAATACTTTTTTTAAATTTTGTATTCAATGTTACAAAACAAAAATGACCATGTTCAAGTCTTAAAGTCATCCTGAGGCCTTAGTTTTGGTTTCAAATTACACAACATCATGTATGTGTTGCTTCTTTGGGGCTTGTTTTCATAGACCTGGTTGCTTATTTCTCTCAAATCTGGCAACAGAGTGGGCAGGGTGCAGTGTCTAATTGTAGCAGTAAGCTAACAAGTACTGATAAGCTTTATTTTGTTTTGATCCAATGCTGCACAACTGAACTGATCCAATGCTGCTGGGAAAAAAATAAGCTATATCCATGTTGGATAGAATATCCAATTTAAATAAAAAAATAACCTTAAGGGACAACTTGAATGCTTTTTTTCTTTTTTTCTCTTAATGCATTTCATAAAGATCGGATCGGGAAAAATCGGTATTGGCAAATTGTCAAAATCAAATGATCGGAATCGGATCGGGAGCAAAAAAAGGTGATCGGGACATCCCTAATAGCGAGCAGTCGAAATGACTTCTTCTGTGTGTCATCATTTTAGTTAAGGTATTCAAACCTTTAAATGAAATGAGTTTATGGGTAAAAGGACATGGATAACAACACATCATGTAGACTGTATTTTCTTCTGTTTTGTTATAAAGTGTTAAAACAATGTGAAGGGAATACTTAAACGAGACATATTAAGATTAACAAAGCGTCTTAAGATGTGTAACTTTGCTGCGTCTTCAGATTTCTAACCGTTGATTGTTACCGTTG